ATGAAGGTATATAAAATGATTTTTTTTATAAAAAGGAGCAGTTTAGTCTGATTTTCACTGAGACTACTTTTTGGTTTGAATTGCTTGCTTCTTTTTATTATTAAAAACAACATTCAGTTTATACTATGAAGGTACAAGTCAAGAGTACAAAAATGGTGGTTTTACCTTAAGGAAGAAATAGAAATTTCTTTATTTATTCATATATGATAAATATATTTTTAATATTTTCCATACTTTTTTATGTAGTGTGTGATGTCATTAAAATAGTCAGTATATGGGGCCAGCAGGTAATGTTGTGGTTAAGGGCACTGGACTCCCACATAGCTGACCGTGGTTCGAGTCCTGGACATGGTGTATTGTTTGCTCTCTCTCTCACTATCACTCTATTACTCTGTCTCTTTCAGGTCAAATCAAAATAAATAAAGCTAAATAATTCTTTAAAAAATAGTGCCAGCATATTTCAAGATTATACTGTTCCAAAGACATTTGGATCGAAAGTAGTTCAGTGCAAGATGGGCTCCCGATGAATTACATTTCGTTATGAGATGACAGGAATCACACACTCCCACTGCAAACTACATTATGAGCCATCCAAAGAGGAATATTTTTTTGGAGAGGTTTTTGCTATAGGGCGCGTGCACTCACCAGACAGACAGAGAAAGACAAAGAGACAGAAAGCGAGAAATCACCCCCTTGGGCAGATGGCCATGCCACAGTCCCTTTTCCCATTCTCCTCTTGGGATCTTAGGCACACATGCATATGCGCCAGACTTGAGTTTAAGCCGCCAGGTCTGGGACTCAAACCGTGGTCATCTATGTGGGTGTCCAGTGACATAACCATTACGCCAACTGCTGGTTGATCCCGGGAATTTTTAAAAAATTATTTCTATTTGGAATTTCTCTACCTTGGCAAAGACACCTGCATTATTCAAAATCACAGAAACTGACATCATTGTTTTAAGACTCTGCTTTGGCAACAAGTGGAAAATTACAGTGAATTTCTGCCATTTTTATGTGAACCAAACAGTACATTATAATTGCAGGAAATTCTACCAGAGATCATAGGTTCATCAGACCTTAGGGTGAACCATTCATCTACTTCATACCACCTGACCTTTAGTCCTCAGGCAACTCCAAACCCAGACCTTCCTGGGCTAAGAATCCTTATTTTTTAAAATATTCAGAACTGGACATTCTACAGATGTCAGGTCCCAATTTAATCATCTGACAACAGTCACTACCAGAATATGCACACCAGGCTCCCAAATTTACACATTAATTTCTGTCAGTTTTCTCAAATTTTAAGGAGATAGAATTCACTTTGACCCTATTTGAAATGAGATCAGAGAGTTAGTGGAGAAAGATCGTAGTAAACCTGTAAATGCTTTTCAATTGTATGGAATTCATGTAAATATCATGTATCTGACAACCTGTTTTATGCCTCTCCTTTGTTCTCTGCACTGAAGAAGTTTGAAGACAACTCAGAATTTAGAAAGTACTAGTTCATTTTTGTTTTAAGTTAATGAGTAGCAACTGTGATTGAGGGGGAAAATATAATATCTATATTTGTGGTGCAGGAAACTTCTGCTTCACTGGCCCTCTGTCTTCTTTGCCGCTTTCCCTTTTACACTCATGGAATGATAGGAGAACTTACAATAAAAGTAGTGGAGCCTGCAGGTGGCATGGTGGTTAAAGTGCCAGACTCCCACATGGCCGACTGTGATTTGAGTCTCAGACCTGGAAGCTGCTTTCCTATTTTTCTCTCTCTGGCCAAATTTAAAAAAATAATAAAATTAAATAAATAATTTTAGAAAAGAATGAAAATTGCTCTTCCTTATTTACTCTATAGCCACTTCTTGTGGAAAAACTGAATAGCCATATGAATGTTAAAGATTACAAATCATAGTGTATAAATGGACTTGACATTTTCCATAATTTAAGTTATACATTATGTAGAAGTGTAGTGTTTGTTATAGAGACTACAGAGAGGTCTTAACTTGCAACAGAAAGCAGGAGTTAGGGGTAAAACCTAATAATTTATATATGTGGCAGGTACATTCACTTTTAGTTTTAAGTTTTGCAAAATGGATATTACAGAAAATTTAGTGATCTTATCTGTAAGCTGTGCTAAATCTGGTATGTTACAGTTACAAACAGAAAAGTCAAGACGCTGAATCAAAGCTACCATTCTGGTAAAGGTATTGTTGATTGGTTTTCCAAGAACTATTTGAAATATAACTTGCATGTCTTTTACTCTGAGCATGCGAAGGACCTTGGACAGTCAGTTGTTCTAATGCTCTTTCTTTGAGCAGGCGGGTAAATAACTAAGCTGTCCAGCAAAGGTACTGACTGTTGTTTTTTTGTTTTTTTGTTTTGTTTTGTTTTTGTTTTTGTTTTTCCAGATCTCCAAGAGTCTCAGATTTTGTTAGCCATTCCAAGGTAGCTTTACAGACATCAATTAGTTTTTATTTATTTATTTTTAATTTTTAATTTTTGAGAGGTTTTTGCTATAGGGCACGCGCACACGCCAGAAAGACAGATAGAGAGATAGAAAGTGAGAAATCACCCCTCAAGGGGGGATGGTCACGCCGCAGTCCCTTCTCCTCCATTCTTCTCTCGGGATCTTGGGCACCCATGCACACGCACCCAATGTGAGTTTAAGCCACCGGGTCCGGGACTCGAACCGCGGTCAACTACATGGGAGTTCAGCGACATAGCCATTACACTAACTGCTGGTCCCAACATCAGTTAGTTTTTATATACGTTCTGAATCTTTCACCTACTTCAGCTTTTTTCCTTTACTTTTTGAGTAATTTCCTATAAATTTTGAAGATAAAACTCTAACAAAATATTTCATAAACTTCAATGAAAATTGCAAGCCGAGAGGTTTTATCTATACTTTAGGGTGACCTTTATAAGGAATTATTTTTCATATAATATCTACATAAGGTACACAAGTTGAGACTCATATACATCCAAACATAGTAGATGTTTGGAAAACTTTGCAAGCTCTAAGTAGTCTTTATTAAAATTAAGACTATTAGAAATTTATATCTTAGACCTCTAAATAGGTCATTAAAAGGAAGGAAAATATTTCTGGCTGTTTATTTTTAAAAATTTGGGTTGGAGATTTTTTTTTTAACAATGGAAATATATAGATAATTTTGGTTTTTATCAGACTTCCTTCAACTTAAATATTTGGTACCACTGATAAAGCACCACTGAAGGAGACTATCCCAAATTTATATAAGAAAGCATATTTTCCTGATTCAAGAGAAGAAAACAGTGAAGCCTCAGCAAAATTAAAGGGTAAGGTATAATAGGGCCCAACCTTAGAAATTTCAGATTCAATGAATCTACTTTTAAAAACTATAAAAGGATAATATAAATATATTATGTGAAACGGGATTTTACAACTGTAGGCTCTGCTTTCTGCTGTCTGTGGTAAGGTAGTTGACATGGTTGTCCTTGGTACTTATATGATAAATGTCATATTACTAGTTGGACCTTTTCTAAGTTAGTGTGTTGCTGTGAAAGTGATGGTTAAGATTCATTTGGATTGTGGATGAAAGAAAAATGAGTGGCAGTGAAAATACTGTTTTTGTAGGATGTTTTCTTTAATCATTTGAGAATTGTACTGTTGGCCTCAGAGCAGTCAGTTCAAGCAACTAATCTTCACTAAGTCAGCAACTAAGAGCTTAGTGGATTTTGAATTTCCTAATAAGGTTTTCTCCTCTTCCTACTATTCTCTCTCCCAAGATTATAGCCATACATGCTTAGACAAGAATTCTTAGTTTGGTAGAAACATGGAGAAATGTAATGACAGACTGACTTTTTCCTTTTTCTCTTGGTCAGTGTGCTGGAGAAGAGAAACGAGTTGGTACACGCACAGTGTTTGTTGGCAATCATCTAGTTTCAGAAACAGAAGCTTACATTGCACAAAGATTTTGTGATAACAGAATAGTTTCATCTAAGGTAAGTTTTTTTGGTTTGTTTTGTTTTTAATTTGCTGTAGGATGTATGTGCTGGGGGTGTAGAGGGAGTGAGAAAGCATCCCTCTGTGGGGATGGCCACACTGCTGTCCCCTCTTGGGGTTTTAGGCATGTACATGCATGCTGCCGGGTCTAGGAGTCTAACCACGCAGTCAGCCATGTGAGATCCAGCCCACTGGCTAGCCTACTAATATTTTTTTGATTTTAACTGAATAGATGTTCACATAGATAATATGCATATTTTTATTTATATTTCTGAGGAAGCTGGTGTATTTATGTATGTCTGCATGGATTTTATATACTAACTATGATAGTTATTTCCCATAAGGCAATTTTTGGAGAAAACCTATCACTTTGTCTTGTTATAGCTAAAAGATCATTCCCTTGCTTTCTATTATGATTCAAAGTGCCTGTTGATTATGCATATTAATTTAAGCCCTTAAGTACACTAAAAATAGGAATTATTTACTTTCTGAATTGCCCTTGAATGACTGGACTAGAATATGAATGATTTGCATTTTTTTGAGGGTGCTAGTCTGGTATGACTTTTATTTGTATTGCTTTCTAGTCCCCTTGCCCGCCTCTATCCCCATCCCAACTTATCAAGTATATTCCTGAGTCCACAAGAGTAAATTCTGCTCAGTATGCTACTTGACTTGTGACCTGTTAAGAGTTCGATCACTGTAGCTGTGATACCATTTGAATAGTCATCTTACTTTAATGTAGTGGTAAGTGCAGTGGCCTGGAAGTCTGAACACCTACGTTTACAACCTGGCCCAACCATGTACTAAGGGGTCACCTTGGCTCAATAAATTATTCTCTTTTTTGTGGATTTTAAATATATTTTAATTATTCATGGATGTTAATTAAATTATTCTCATTCTTAATGTCCTCATTGGTGAAATGGAGCTAATACTCCATGTGTGAAAATAATTCTTACAGCTCCAGGTCCCAAGTAGTCATTATTCTGTAAGTATTCATTTGCTAATCATTACCTCTGGCTGACCAGGCTAGGTGTCAGATACTAGATAGCTATCCCACTGCTAATCCCCGTATCATGGAATAGATTGTGATTAATTTTCCTCACTTCCTCATGCAGCCTGGCAAGGCAGAGCTAAAATCTTGAGATATTTGCTTCATTGCGCATTTATTTGTACTTAGGACTTGAAGCACAAAAGAATACCCGCCCTTAGAAAACAAAACATTTTTAATTTCTTTATTTTTTGCTTTTATTTTGCCAGAGGGCACATGTACTTTTCATAGAGAAGGAGAGGTAGAAAGCACCCCTCAATGGGGCGTGGTCATGCTGCATTCCCTTCTTCTCTGTCTCCGCACCCTATTAGAATTTGGACATGTAGGCACATATTCTTGGTGTGTTTCTAAAGCTGCCAGGGCCAGGATTCAAATCCCATGGTTTTCCATGTGGAATCTAGCTCCCCTAATTACCAGGCTATGGGCCAGCCCTAAAACATTTTTATTTTCAAACATGTATTTGAGTTCTCCTTTGGTCAGTGATACAGTAGAGATTATGTTTAGCTAGGAGATTAACATGTAAAATATAGACAGAACAAGTAAAAACTGTTGTCATCCAATGAGCAGATCTGTATGCCTATAGAACACTGTGAGTGTATTTGGATAAAATGCCTGTTTCCAGGCTGGCTTTGTGGTACGACAGTAATCTACTACTCAAGAGAATCTGAATCCCACATGGCGACAGTAGTTTTACTCCCTGGCCTGATCAGCCTGAAATATGCAGGGCATGCACATTAGTGCCTAAGATCTGAACACCTGAGAAGAACAGTCATGGCAACACCAAGCCCCATAGAGGGTGCTTACCTCTGTCTGTCTCTCTCAGTCTTATGTGCACAAACACATACTTTATCACAAATAAAGAAAAAATAATAAACTGTTTCCTGTTAATCATATACCTTTGTGGCAGAAATTTTGTCCTCAGCCAGAGATTTACTTACCTGTGCCACAAATAATTGCCTTTTCACTAGATTTTTTCTTAATTTGACAGAGGACACATGCACTCAATCGAGGAAGATAGAGAGAGTGGGGGAAGGTGAGAAAGTACCCCTATGGGGAATGATTATACACCAATCCCCTCTCCTCAGTTTCTTTCTCCTTTCAGGATTTTGGGCATACACATACAGATGCCCAGTATATTTTTCATGCTTTTGGATTTGGGACTTGAACTGTGCAATTGGCCATGTGGGATCCAGCTTATGTAACCAAAAGGTCATGGACTGGCCCTTCACTAGAAATTTTGATCCCTCTGTCATAGCCAATTACATAATAGTAATCCCTTGACTCAGAATCATGGATTTAAAGAACCAAAAGTTCCTAAGAGGTCATTTTGTTCAATTTGTTGACTTTACAGATGGAGAAAGCAAACCCAGATAAATAAAGTTAGTGATATGATCACCAAGCAGTTAGTGATTAAGCCAAGAGCAACTACCTTATGTCATCTAATGGCTCTGAATAAAGAGCCTTTCTTTATAGTGTTTTATGTAGAAGATGGTAAAGTGACTATATTGAATGAGTGAGTGAGTCATTGTGTTGTGATTGACTTTATGTGTATATACATTTTTAAAGAATGTGTGACTCAGTTCTTATTTGTTAATGTTTTAATAGAATGTATTTCCATGTTTACCTAGCTTTAATTTTGCCAATAGGTAAAATAATGCAGTAGGCTATTTAAAATATAATCGAGAGCCCATGGGACAAATAAAATGATCTCTAAACAGACTTGAGTGCGTGTGCATATATGTATATGCATATCTGTGTGTGTGTGTGTGTGTGTGTGTGTGTGTGTGTGTGTATCTATATGAAACTAAAATTAAAATGTGAGCATTTGTCCATTGATTAAGACATCTCTTTTTCTCTGAATATTATGTGTTTATAGGTTTTTTAATTAATTGCTGATTAAGTGATCTCCTTTTCTTAAAAGCTAAGGAACAGAAAAAGGAATTGGCAGTATAATAACTTTGGAAAAAGAATGAAATCTTAACAAATGCCATCGTCTTTTTAATTTGTTTGCTGTAGGGCACATATGCTGAGGGGTGGTTTTGAGAAATCACTCCACCCTAGGTGGCAGGCAGGGGATGGACACACCGTAGTCCCTTCTCTTTCACTCACCTCTCGAGATTTTGTACACACATGCACACCTACCCAGTGAGATTTTTCAAGCCACCAGGTCTAGGACTTGAAGCACAAAGTGTAACATGTGGGATCCTGCTGGCCCTTAATGCCATAATCTTAATATGAGTTATTATGAGGATAGTATACAATGTGGTAGTGAAGTGCATCATCCAGGGAGACAAAGGCCTGGGTTTGAAGTTAAAGTAACTCTTTTAATCTCGTTGCATCTCAGTTTTCTTATATGTAAAATAGGGATATTAATAGTACCTACCTCATGAGATTGTGGTGAGGAGGAAATAAACTAATCCATATAAAGCAGCTAAGCACTGTCCTTCCCATATAGTAACAACTCATTAATGGTGGCTGCTATTGTTAATTTGTGTTTCTGTGATTATTATTAGAATATGAGCAGTACTCTTAATTTCCTCATGTTCATGTGTGTGAATGTATTGGGGTAGTCTCTTTTACAAGGAAACTTTCAGTTCTACTGTGGAAAAACCTAACAACTTCATAATTTGACTTTCTCTTCTTCACATTGTCTTTTGGCTATATTTTCACCAGAATCTTTTAATACATAAGATTCACCAGAATCTTGGGACCAGCAGTTAGCATAATGGCTATGTTGCTGGACTCCCATGTAGTCAACCGTGGTTCGCGTCCTGGACCCGGTGGTTTAAAAACTCACGCCAGGCGAGTGTGCGTGCGTGCCCAAGATCCCGAGAGGAGAATGGAGGAGAAGGGATTTCGGCGTGGCCATCCCCCCAGGGGTGATTTCTTGCTTTCTGTCTCTCTCTGTCTGTCTGGCAAGCACATGTGCCCTAAAAACCTCTTAAAAAAAAAAAAAAAGATTCACCAGAATCTTTTAATACATAAGAAATACATAATTTATAGACTGTGCTAGTTGGCTTTCAACTTTGCAGCAAGTGTTGATTTCCTTTTCCACCCTTCAATGATAAAAATAATTTATCTTAATTAGCTGTTTTTTGGTTTACAAATACCATTGGTAGCATCAGTATAACACTGGGAGTAAATGTCAATGCAAGGAATACTGAAGAAAAACACTTTGACCGGGACCAGCAGTTAGCATAATGGCTATGTCGCTGGACTCCCATGTAGTCAACTGCGGTTTGAGTCCCGGGCCCAGTGGCTTAAACTTACGCCGGATGCGTGTGCATGTGTGCCCAAGATTCCAAGATCCCGAGAGGAGAATGGAGGAGAAGGGATTGTGGTGTGGCCATCCCTCCCTGGTGGGTGATTTCTGGCTTTCTGTCTCTCTGTCTCTCTCTCTCTGGCAAGCACATGTGCCCCATAGCAGAAAAAAAATGAAAAGAAAAACCCTTTGACCCACTTCAAGTTCAATTTACTTGCAAAATTAATGTTCTTTTTCCCTCCATTGACACAAAAATTTTGTTTAGAAAAGCTTGTCCTCAGGGCCCGCAGGTGGCATGGTGGTTAAGGCGCTTAGACTCTCCCACATAGCTGACTTGTCACAGTTCATGTCCCAGACCTGGTGTCTTCAAAAATCATGCTGGGAGTGTGCGTATGCATTCCCAAAATCCCTGGAGGAAAAGGGATTGTGGCATGGCCATCCCCCCTGGAAATGATTTCTCACTTTCCCTCTCATTGTCTCTCTCTGTATCTCACTCCAGCAAGTACACATGCCCTAGGAAAACCTAAAAAAGAAAAGAAAAGCTTGTCCTCTGTAGCCTTATTTCTTTAATGTACTCTACAGAGACCTTTGGGAATCACCAGAGCCACTAGTAAGCTATACAAAGCAAGGAAATGCCATTATTTAGCAAGCCTTCGTTATATCCTGCTAAGATATTTAAAAAGTTTCTTTAGCTTCCATCATGCTTTTCTGTTCTACATACTTGTTTCTTTAAAATTTATGAGCTCATCTTGAAGGCTTTTCAAACAAACAAACTAGAAAAGTCTACTTAACATTGGTAATGCAAATGAAATAACCTGCTATGATGCTCAAAACTGGATTTAATTCCTACATCAAGGAGAGTTGATGATAAAATGGATACAGTAATTTATCAAAGTGGATAGTTACTCACAGTGGAGCTGCTTATTTACAACTGTATGCTTATTTACAACTGTATGCTTATTTACAACTATTCTTGAAGTGCACTTGTTTTCTTCTACTCTCCAGATCTTTCTAGTAGTTAGGAAAGTCAGTGCTCATTGTAATCATTGCATTCACAGTTTGCTGCTAACTTTGTTGGTGCTTTAACTGCTACTGTGTTTGTTTACCTGCTTTCCTTTAGGAACCATTTTAACATGTTATTTGCAGCGTTAGCTTCCCTAACAGCATTTTTGGAAACGTTGGGAACTTCAGAGCAAAATGAAGTTCTAAAGCTTTCTTTGGCTTAAATGTGAAAACAGACTCTCAAAACCAGATTGACTTCAACTTCCTTCGTTAGAATTTAGAAAATTATTTATTAGAATTTTCGCTTCTCATTAAATCAGGTGTTAGATGCTTGAGGCATTGATCCATAGCTTCTTCACACAGTCTCATCGTGCTTTTGTGTTAGTAATTGAATTCACAGCAAAGCAGTTGTAGAATGCATTGTATATACTTGTAAAGCTGGCATTTTTTTTTTTTCTGTAGAAACAGTTTCAAACATGTTCTGAATGCTGGGGTCACTTTTTCGAGTTATAGTTGTATATTAAGACAGTATAAAAGCCATTTACTGACTTTTCTTTGTAAGAACTTATGACAAAAAAGCCTCAGTTCTTATCATTGTGTCTGAAACAACTGTTATTCACATTTTCTTCCTGTGATTAATACTGTTTTTGTTTATCAACTGACAAAGCATGAGATCTACTTTTTATGTAAACAAGTAAACTTGGTGTGTGTGTATTTATATATATGCATATATATAAATACACACACATATATATATGTATATATATAAAACTCAGTTTTACTCTTAATTAGAAGACTCTTTGAAAAGTAGGGTTCTTTTGGTCTGTGTCAAAATATGACACTGGAGGGGCCAGCAGGTGGTATGGTGGTTGAGGCACTGGGCTCTCACATGGCTGACCACGGTTTGAATCTTGGACCTGGGTCTTGCCTTTTCACTGTCTCTTTCTCTGTCTCTTTCGTGTACTCGCTTTCTCTCTCTCTCTCTGGTCAGATTAAACAATAATAACAATAGTAAATAAAATAAAAATAAGACACTTGGAATTATTTTTTAAATTGCTAGAGGGCATGTGTCTACACTTAAAATTATTTTTTAAATTGCTAGAGGGCATGTGTACCTGCAATAGAGAGGGGAGAAAGCACCCCCAATGGGACTCGTTCCCACCACAATCTCTTTTCTGTTTCTTCATCCCATTGGGATTTTAGGCATACGTGAACAGGCACTCAGCATGTTTTCCAAGCTGCTACAACTGGGATTTAAACTGCAGTCAGCCATGTGGAATCTAGCTCCCTTACCTACTATGCTGGCCTACTACATGTGTATTATAATAAAAGAATTTGATAGTAGATTAATTTGCCTTTTATTTAAACCATTGAAGTAGATATCCAATATACAAGTTGTATTCATGATCTTTTGTGTGCCAAACATCATGCCAGGTACCTGTTACGAGGGACTAAAGACCTGATAAGGGAGGAAAGAGGGCATATGGCAGTAGTTTCCTGTAAACTGAGTAACGGAGTTCTTAGGAAGCAATTTATTTAGTATCTTCAAACAGTGGTAAAATAACACTTGCTGCTTAGAAACAAAAACAACAAATTGTTCTCTTCTGATGCATTAACACCCTCTCCACCCAGAGAATTCTTAACTGTTCTGAGTGCTTATTTGTTTCATGAAAAACCCTTTAGTTTGGGAACAGAAGTCAGTTCACCAGAAGCTCAGGTGTTAGCCTGTAGTTCGCATTTCACTTATTGTTTTAGAAAATTGATCTTAATTGGGACAGCTAAGTGCCAGTTTGGGCTATGTTCAGAGTTACTGGGTCAGTGCTTTCAAATGGTTTTTATTATTTTTGGTCACAGGTTGCCTCAAGAATCTCATGAAAAGTGTCCAATCTTTTCTCCTTAATGATGCATACCCCATGCAAAATTTTGCACATATTTTTATGTTTGTTTCTTTCTTTCATGAGAGGGGAAGAGGTAGACAAGCAAATATACAGATTACCCTTGACAGGATCTCATCATACTGCAAACCACCCCCTAGCCTTCAAGCTAGCCTGGATCATGGGTATGCCTTTGACTATGCCTGATGTATTTAGGTTGACTCAGGGCTTTCCCATATGGTTCCAGCATCACACACAGGTGCCCTCCCACCTGTACCATGTGGCTGGGCCCTGCACTTACTTTGGAATAGTGCTCCCTAAGGCACTTCCTTGGACCCTTGGAAAAGAACCTTCTAAGTTGGCTATTTTTGTAATGCAGCTGCTCTACTCAATGCATTTGCCTCTTTTTTTTTTTTTTTGTTTTTGTTTTCCTTCATTCCTTGGGGATTCCTGAACTTTGAGTCCATATGTCTTTTTACGAAGAAGCATTAGTAATTTCCCATGTGCTACATAAATCACCCCTTATTAGGGATGGCTGTGCAACTTTGATTTTTCAGTCACATTATTAATGGATATGTTCTCATATTATGCAGATATTGGGAGACTATTCAAGTCTAAATTTTGTCTTTAGAGGTTTGAAGGTTAAAAAACCTTTCTAGTTTTTAGTCTTTATTAAGATGTCTAGAAAGTCCAACTTTCTTTTTAACTTAATTTCTTTCTTTCATGAGAGAGAAAGATAAGTGCCCTCAGCAGGGTCTCATGCTGTGACCTTCCCCCTTAACCTTTACCCCTTTACCAGCTAGCCAGTATCATGGTGTGAGTACCCATATCCAGATGAACTTGAGAACTGGTCCTGTCTCTTCCTATGGCTTACACATTACAAAACATTGCACTACCCCTACACCACCACAGCCGGACCAAAAAGCCAACCTCTTCTGGTGACTGTTAATTGACCCAGACCTAGAGCTTAAGGTTTACCAGTGAGGAAGAAACTATATATGGTTTAACCATTGGCCCCAAAGTTCTCTCTTTTGGCCCAGGTAAAATTTAGCATGGAAACCCTTTACCTGTTACCAGTTATCAAAGCCTAGAGTGGTATGTTATTGAACTTTATTTATTTATTTAGTTTTTGCTAAAAGGTGCGCATACTTTCCAGATTGAAAGAGAGAGAGGGAAGGGAAAGTGAGAAATCATCCCTTATTAGGGATGGCCCCACTGCCACCCCCTGTCCTCCATCTTCTTCAGGATTTTAGGCACACATGCACCCAGTGTATTTTTCAAGCTGCCAGGTGTGGTACTCAAACCATGCATTTGGCTTTGTGGAATCCAGCTGCCTTAACATCCATGCCACCTGCTGGCCCTGTTGTTCAACTTTAAAATAAAGTTCTTGGGACCAGCAGATGGCATAATGGTTATATCACTGAACTCCCACATAGTAGGCCACAGTTCAAGTTCCAGACCTGGTGGTTTAAAACTCATGCTGTGTGCATGTGTGTCCCTGCCCTAAGTCCTAAGAGGAGAATGGAGGAGAAGGGATTGTGGTGTGGCCGTACCCCCCCAGGGAGTGATTTCTCACTTTCTGGCTCTCCCTCTCTCTCCAGTGAGCACTTACACCTAATAGTAAAAATCTCTCTAAAGAAAAGGTTCTTTCTTTTAAAGTGAGTGCCCTCTCTGACCCAGGGTTGTGTGCATACCTTTTAGCTGTGAGAGAGATGGGTAAACTGACAGGCCCAGAGTTTTACCTGTGGTGTTGATCAATACGTCAAAGATTAGCTGAACCAAGGGTATTGCAATCATTCATTTATTCATTCATATTTTATTGTCTTTGTGCTAAGCGTGCTAGGCATTGGTTAAAATGTAGTATAAACAAGACAGATGAGCAACCTGCTCTTACAGATTCATTGCCTATTGAGGTAGAAACTTTATAATAGAAAATGCACATCTCTGTAATTTATTATAATTAGTGTTATAAGGAAGTATCTCTGTGTGTGTACACATATACATACATATTTATGTAGATGTGTGGGTATGTTTCATATATATCATAAGCACATAACAAGGAACCTAATTTATATTGATTCAGAAAGCATAGGTATGGAACTAGATGGCCCAGTTGCAGTACTCAGAATAAAAACTTCATTTCTGAACATTGTTTTTATGTACTGTACCTCAAAATTTATGCTAATGAGTATGTATGTATGAAGTTTCAGTTTTGAAGTGTTGGATATATTAAATATCACTTCATATGGTCATCTGGACCCATTTCAGCCATTATTATTAGGATATTTCCAGTTTCCTTTCTAATAATCGTCTTTTTTTCCCCCTCTCTCTGACAGTATACACTTTGGAATTTTCTGCCAAAAAATCTGTTTGAACAATTTAGAAGAATTGCAAATTTTTATTTTCTCATCATTTTTCTTGTACAGGTAAGAGCTCTATGAGCAGCCACATAAAATTAAGAAGCTTCATTACTTTAAGCCAATTTTGAATCCATTTCTAACTTTAAAATGCCCTATGATTAAAAAGAGGGACCAGCAGATGGCATAATGTTTACGTCGCTGGACTCTCACATAGTCGACTGCAGTTCAAGTCTCCTTAAAACTCACGCTGGGCACGTGTTACGTGCCCAAAATCCTGAGAGGAGAATGGAGGAGAAGGGATTGTGGTGTGGCCATCCCCCCTGGCGGGGGAGAAGGATGTGCTTTTCCACTTTCTCTCTCTGTCTCTCCAGCAAGTGCATGCGCCCTGTAGCAAAAATCTTTCTCAAAAAAAAAAAAAAATTGATGTTCCAGGACTTATTATAATATGACTTCTTAAAATAGAAATATTGCGTTTTAAGAGTTATATGATTTTGACTTTATAGATTTCTAAAGGTATATTTGTATGAGAAAACTTGCTGAGATTTTATTTTAATGTTACTTTTTTCTTTTTAATTTTGCCGGGGGTGCATATGCACCCTTTGGAGAGACTAGAAAGAGAGGGAAAGTGAGTAAGCATCTCCCTATGGAGAATGGTGACCCCACAGTCCTTTCTCCTCCATCTCTCCCTCCATTTCTTATGGATTTTTGGCATACATGCACACATGCCCAGTATATTTTTTAAGCCACCAGGTCTGAGACTCAAACCACGCAGTCAGCCGTGTGCAGTCTAGCCACCTTCATGCCCAGGTAAGTGGGCCCTGTTGTTATTTTCTTTAAAACTTCCATGGTTTTTTATCTTTGTTCATCCTAGAAGTATATGTATTATATATCGTTCAGTGAAACTCTATGTATCAAAATTGAAAACAGTTCAAACTTAGTTTTCCTTTGTTAAGCAACAGTTATTGTCTCATTAAAAGCTTAATCACTTGTGTTTCTGATTGCCAATTTTGCTCTCCCTCATTCACTGACTCACTTTAAGGCTGAAGGCCTAGCAGATGAATCTGCTTTTCTGTGTTCCTTCAACTGTCTTACTTTTATAACTTTCAGACATTTTAAATAGCATCTTTCATTTTTAAGCCTGTAAGCTATTAAAATCTTTCCCTCACTCTAATTACCCTCCGAAAATTTTATTACATTAAATGTACTTTTTTTCTCATTTTGTTTTCTAATGAAGCAGAAAAGCTCCAATAAAATTACTGAAATGACTCGTTCATGTTAAGTGTTTCTGTTTATCTGCTTTGAGATTTTGAACAAATGGTACTGTATTATTGAATTTAGCCCTGATACTGAAAATCAGTCTGGGATTTAATAAGGGCAGAAGCCAATTTAAATCCCAAATGATTGAACATTTGTAAGGGAACTCATAGATCAATGATCAGATACCTTACAGATGTAAAATAAACAACATAGAAGATTTTGCTTGGAAGATTCATTCTACTTGGTGGGCAGTGCATTACATTTTAATTTATTAAACATATACCAAGTACCTACTGAGTATCGTTTAGTAGTACAGACAATTGAGATGGTAGTAGGTACAATACAGGTCAAAATACAGATTTTCTACCCTTAAGGGATTTCTGTTTAAGTTGGGAAGTCAGTATTCTATAGACTTAACTCAATGTAGTAAGAGTCATTCAAGGGGGACCAACAGGTGGTGTGGTGGTTAAAGCACTGGACACTTCCACACGGCTGATTACCGTTTGAGTCCTGGACCTAGTGGCTTGCTTTCTCACTTTCTATCTCTCTCTCTGTGTCTCTCTCTGGTCAAAATAAAATATTCAATAAATGAATAAATAAAAATAATTCTTTTTTTAAAAAGAGCATGAACAAAACATTGTGGGTAGACAGTGAACATTTTATTTTTTTCTACCCAAGAGGAGCTTGAGAAAGCTTCAAAGTAAATGATCTATGAATTAAGCTTTCTAGATTTAGAAGGGATTTACTGGATGAAAAATGCCAGGCTGATATCGCAGGAGTAGAGAGGAGCCATGTAAAAGCCTTGTGTATGCATGGAAGTGTACCATTGTTTCTGCAACTGAGGGTATATGGGAGGGGCAGACCTGGCTGGGGGTTATAGATGACAGGGACATGAGTTGTGAGGGCAAATTGAACTCATGATTCCCCTGTCAAATGTAGTTCTCTTAGTTTTTTCTATTTCTCTCTCTTTTTAAAAATTTTGCTAGAGTGTGTATGTCTTATTTTACAGAGACAGAAAGTGCCATGCTGCAGTCCCCCTCCTCTTTCTCTTTTTGGGATTCTAGGCACGTATACACAGGCACACAGCGTGTTCTTTAGTCCACTGGGTCCGGGACTTGAACCACACAGATGGCCATGTTGGATCTAGCCTCCTTAATCACCATGCATCCAGCTAGCCTGGTATTTCCTATTTCACTGATTACTAACAACACCCACCCAGATGTTTACCAGATACTTAGGAGACATCTCTTTTCAGTACTTATCAATTGTGCCATTTTTGCCTCCTAAACATCTTCAGAACTTCTTTCAATGTCTGTTTCTACCATTCCAGTCCACTCTATCACCTTTCACTTGTATTACAGCAATAGCCTCCTGGATGGACTATATGTGCTCTTGTTCCCTTCCAATACATTTTCTTTTTTTTTTTCTTTTTTTTTTCTTTTTTTTTTTTTGAGAGGCTTTTTTTCTATAGGGTGCATGCGCTCCCCCGGGACAGAGG